CGTTCGCCTGTTTGATTTTGCCAGAAACCATTCCAAAAATCAGAGGGCTTCAAACCCTTCCTTTGGTCTATCTTGAAAACAATCCTCAAAAAGAGAATTCCCATGGAAACATTGGCACATTCACGTACAACCAGCAGGGCAAGTGGCAGCAGCTTCCATTCAGTGTGCTGGCTTCCTGTGCCGAATAGAACAAGAAAATGAGCAAGAAACATGCCAAGAACAGGGAAGAACCCTCGGCTCCCAGCAGCACCCCCTCAAATCTCCCGCGGCCTTATAGGGGAAGAATAACGGGCACCCGGTTCTTGGTGCCTGATTTTGAGGCGAATCCCCCCCAAAAAACACAAAATGAGCAACGGCAGCGCCGCCCCGCCCGCGGGGAAAAAGAAAAAAAAACAACAGGCGGCCTGCCTGGAAGGCCTCGCTGCGCCTCTCCCCGCGCTTCGCGGCCTCCAGGCGTGCCTCGTTGACGCCCCAGGTGAAGGTCAGAGTCTCCTGCTGGGAAATGTTGGGTAGACATGTAGGTGAGGATTCATGGCCACCAACCACTTTGGAAGACTTCGCGGAACCACTTGCTTTTTAAACGGGTGGGGTGTGTCATGGCTTGTCTCCAAATGGAAGCCCCAAAACGGGTGGCTGGTCCTCGGGTAGCCTCCCAAAACTTGGGCTTCCAATTCAAATGTTTGCCCATTAAGTGTACGCCATCTTGGGCTTCCCTGGGTCGTACCCCAATGCCGGAAAATGCCCCCTTGGAACCTCAAATTCCCGGCCATAGATCTCGTCTTCCACGCAAAGGAACAAGGCTCTATAATGCCACACATTTAATGAAATGTCAGGGGTACCCGCTCGCCCCCCCCCCCCAATTTCATTTTTGGGCGAAGTGATGTTGGGGTGAGGTGAAATACGTGGCACAATTCTTCCATTCGAGCCATGGTCAGAACATGCTGCTTCAGCAATGGTTGAAATGTTTGTGATTCAAACATCACTCCGGGTGAATTCTACTATTTCACCAGACTGAATTCAGAACGCAAGCCTGAGAAAGAAACCCTCTGCGGTGTAAGGGCGACCTCCCGTATGAACATCCAACATGAATCACTGTCTCTTCTTAATACACGTACCCTATGAATAAATATATGTTATTTCTTACATGGTAAACCAAACTTGCCAACACTAAACAAGAATTTTCTGCGGACCCCAACTCCAATACTATTGTAAAGCTCCACTACTGAACTAATACTAATGAAACCGATACTCAACATACTAAACCAATTCCGGGGGAAAACAAAAACAACATGGCAACAGCACGACTCCCCAAAAATGACATTGATGTCTGTTTGTTTTGAACTCCTTGCACCGAATTTGGCATTCTGAACGAGCGTTGGGCCTGGGAAGGAGGGCCGTGGCCAAGTGATGAGTAGCAAATATCGACTCTAGGCGAATATTGCTATTGGGAAGTGTTTTTTTCTTAGAGGGTACGGATTATGATCAAAGTAGCACAGGAGACCGTTTGGGTTCACCATCAAACACTACAGAGCTGATACGGGGCCTCTACAAAACAAATATTGCTTCTACTTTGTCTGGATAAACGACAGGACAACCATATTGGCAAAGTACAGCAAACACTGTTCCTGAGATTGGAGTGCAGTGGCCGACACGGGATACTTTGCGAGCTCTGCGAGGCGATATCCATCTGTGTCTTGGTTGGAAACTACTCCGGATATGAACGGAAGGGTGAAGTTTCGTTGCCATATCTTGCTTTGGCTGCACAAGCGTGCTAATACGTTCACGCGGGGAGCGATCGTAACCCTCCGACTACTGGTTGCAGCATGAATGCTTTGAGCTGCTGCCCCTGGGTCAGCCAAATTCCATTTTTTTGAATCAGACGATGTAAGGGCAGCTCGCCCTTGAAGCTCACAGAACTTGGCCACTCTCGGCAAGCCGCGTCAAACACATCCCCTTCAAAGCTGCCTACTTGGCTACCTGCCACATGTTCTATCCATTTCTTACCAGCCAACAAAAGGATTTTCACCCACTTTATCTCACCCACATGAACTCCACCCTTCCCCAGAGGCTCCGGGTAGGCTGCATGAAAGCGAGAACGCCACCGTTCCACAACTTGGGCGCTGTGGTCGCTGCTGCCGTCGTCAAAGACAGAGACCTGAGCAAAGCCAACCTGCTAAGGCCGTTTTGGGTGCAAACCAAAATCCCATTTGGCAAATCATGCTATTCAAACCACCTCAGGGTGATTTTTCGAGTGTCACTCTGATTTTCCTGCGAGCAAAGGCTCATGTCGATGCCCCAAACAAAGCTTGGCACATTAGATGTGAGCTACTCGGTCTCTACTTGACAGAAGAAGCGACATGTTGTGCATGATTTTTGTTTGCCTAGCATACTCAAGCCGGTGACGTGCCAGCTCCCATAGGCGTGGCACGGCACCACATGCCATTTTTACGCTGAAATTTGTGTGCGCGCAATTTGACTGTCAAGACCCAAAGTATGACAGCATAACAGCATAAAACAAACAGGTGCTCCCCGTCGAAGAACCACAAACCATATTCATGGTAAGAAAGGTGGCGGCGGCGGCGGTGGTAGTGGTGCAATGCTATACACCATGATGGCTACGACTGCAATGAATCATGAAGTTGTGGCTTGGTTCAAACTACAACTACAGCCCTGCTGTCTTCTTAATCATTCTATGAGGCGCCTCGTATAGTAAGACGGAGCAGGGTGTGCAAACGGAGACTCCTCATGGCTTGGCCCGATGTCTGGGTGGGCAACACCCGGATGCAATGGATCCACAGCTGCAACTGCAGCTGCAGCTATAGATTCAACTGCAACATGAAAACGAGCAGGGGAACAATCATACTACTACATATAAACTTTTACTACGCTACAATTGTTTAACCACTACGACCTCGCGCCGACTCTGCCACCTGCAACAACAGCAATGCCATGCGCTGTCTTCTACTTCATCTACTTTCCAACGTTGATTGAGCTACACAATTTCGCTGCTGAGGCAAGCACCACCATTGCAGCTACATCCTCTGTCGCGACCCCTTACTACTTGCTTCAGCTCTATCTTCTGCTATCTATTAGTAGCATGCCTGACTCGCAGAATACAGTCATTTGAGCTGCTGCAGCTTGCTTGAATTTGGCAGCGGGCTGCATTGCTGCTTACCTTTTTGAACTGGCGCTCCTCTGCAGTTGATCCGAACACCTTGTCCTGCGATTCTAGACACATCTGCCACCAGCCGACATGAAGCTGCTGCGTGTCGAAAGGTCACTACCCTATACACCTTCAGCCCCTACTTCAGCAGCTTTCCTCTGGCATGAGCCCAGCGTCTTGGACCAGTCAAACATCTACCCTCACCCCACCCCCCGGCACTGGCCTCGGCATGTCCGCCTTTCTGAAGGAAGCTCTGCGACAGGATACTCTCAAAGGCCTGACACAGGCATGCCACGCTTAAGATTGCTATATGTACTATATGCTTGCTCTGGCTCGAGAGCCACCCTGATTTCAGATGGACAGATCATGGCTTGGCAAAATAAGTTCTTGTGCTCACACAGCTGCCTGGGCCTTGTTTTGCTGTCTCTCTCTCTCTCTCTGCGCAAGGGCCTGTGTGCCAGTGGTGGTGTCTGTGTGCCCTCGTGCGTGTGTGCGTGTCTGCGTCTTTGTCTATGTCCGAATTGCTGATCCCTTTTCCCAACACAAGTGTTTGACATGTCAAAAGTCCATCCAGTAGCACAGTAGCGCAGTTGCTTTCAATTGGAAACAGCCTTCAGCAAACTGTTCAGCATGATGCAACCAACAAAAAATAGTTGTTGAGCAAGCATGCAGCAGTGCTTTCACGCCTCTTTGAGCAAGCATAGTCGAAGAACAATACACACCTGAAAACGGTCAAGCACGACGGAATAGACGCGCCCAGCCTCATCCAGAAAAGCTTCTGCATTGTACACCGGCAAAATTATGGACACTTCTGGCTGACATCCCATGGCTAGCTGCAGCGCGCATTGCTCGTTGGAGTTCCACCCACGATGGGACTGACCCTGAGTATAGCATCCACATAATTGAATCTCTCTAGTCAAGGAAAGCATTCCTGATGTATTTTGCTTCCCTGGCAGGAGATGACTTCATCATACATGTGGCCAAAAACGAGGGTTGCATGAATCCCACATGGACGAACCCTGAATGCGTCTCTTGCATTTGGGCTGACATGCGGTGATCCCCTCTTTGTGAATTGAGTGGTTCGGGTCCAAGGTGCTGCATGTTTCCCCCATGAGCTGGTGAAGGCAACAAGAGGTGGTGTAGGCTCAAACTCGGTTGGGCTCAATTGAGCGTTTTGCAGCCAGTTCTTGCAGGGACCAAAGCGATAAGGCTGAATCTCCCTGGAGATGGCGGCGGACATGGTGGAAAATAGCATGCTTCAAACACGGCACCAAACAACTGTAAACGACATTATCTGTGAAGACTTCTCAAGCTGGTGCCTCTCTTGCCACGTGTGAGTATGTTCTCAGCTTGACCTCTAATTTCGTGTAGCAACCCAACAAAAAGCAGAAAGGCTGGATAAATCCAGCGAAAAAACAGAACACACAGCAGCAACAACAGCGACAAGGTATCAACCCCTCCGGTCAGCTGCTTGGGCTTCCTCCTACGCCTCTGGCCTCACAACGGCCTTGAGCCCCTCAAAATTGCAGTGAATCTATTGACCAACAACATCAGCAACTGGGGAATCTTGCTTGCGTCCCAAGCCCGATCAGTTGTGCTGATCCCCTGAACCCTGCGCGGGGCAAGCATTGACACTTACACCCATTGCAAAAATCCTGTTTGAGCATGTGGGCACGGTCCTTTCTGAAATGGCCAAAGGCTGCTTGTGGCATTTTGTAAGTTTTGTGAGCCAAACGTGGGTAAGTGACAGGGTCATACAGGGCCAGTTTCCTTTCGTGCAACCCAACAAAAGAACCCGCAAGAAAACGCCCACGTCGGGCCAACCCGAGGCCAGAACTCCGAAGTTTCCTTGCGGCGGCCTGGGCCCATGCGCAGTTTCAACTTCAGCTATGCCTTTTTGGCTTTTGGATTCTTCAATGTGCCAAAAACTGGAAGGGGGGCTTCCAGGATTGAACATAGAACCTAAAGTCTCAAAGTTGAATGACTCTTTTCAGCTGATGACAGTCCACCATTTCAAGCCTTACTCCTTGACCGTGTACACAATTAGAATGGTTAGAGATATATCGTGCAACGCGAGTCGACTTTGTCCAAGTCGCTTTGCATGTACAAATTACAAACACAATCAGCACAGCCAAGTAGCTAGGTTCACCTTGAAACCTGTTGTTATCGCAGTGGCTGTCTCTTGATGGCTGACTTCTTAAGCACATATTTACTGATCAAGCGCAAGCTTGGCAGCTTCCATTGGAGATCATATCTCTCAGAAGTGCACTATGTCCACCGGCAACTAGATTTCCAAACAGCTCAAAGACTGGGCCCAGCCATTCGGATCTCGTCGATTTTCAATGTACGACCTCATGCTGTGCGCATTCCTTACGCACCTCATTAGTTTGGCCAGTGCTGTGAACCTGTTGTCTCCTCGTGCTACCTTCGAGTTCTTTGGAACTTTGAACCGCCCATTGGCATTAAGTCTTCCGACCCATCTTCAGCCTAGCCCAATGCACTAAAACCAACCTGCTGCTTCCTGCCCTTGGCCCAAGGCCTGCCGCTGGACATACCCAGGGAATCCCCTTAAAATGGATGCGCTTCTTACCATGGCTACCATAGACTGGGGCAGTGTCAATAAAAGTGCTCGTCCACTAGACCAACAAACACCCGACCTTCTGCAAACGTGCATGAACTGTTGCCACACAAAACGTCTATGCGTTTGCGCTCGTCGTAGTAGAGCTACTCCTGTTCAATAACAACATAAACCCACACGATGGAGACATGTCCCCGCCAGTTTTGCGGGTCGGGGTGCGCATGAATCAGGGGCCCTTCTTTGGTTGGCGATTTGTGGGGAACCAACTACAAAGGAAAACGACTGCCGCTGAAGAATGTGGATATCCCTGTTCATGTATTTGAGGTTTTTCACCAACGGTTTTGTGACCCTTTGGGTTTTCACTTCCACACCATCCAGGATGCAGTCCCTGACCTTGAAACTGCACATCCATCTGGGCCCGTTTGCCTCATGGGCGCCGGCTGGGCTGCCAGGGGCCGGGGATTGATCAGCACCGGCGCCGGCGGACAGGCGCTCGCCAGGCGCGGCGGAGGGGCCGCCTATGGTGCGCATGGTTTACCAACAAGGATGGCCAGGGGAAGCGATGACCATGATGGCGAAAGCTTGGAAACCTTTTCCTGATTCCAACGTCTGGGGTAACGTGGGGTAACGGTATGTCTACTTGGTCACATGAAATTCCAAAAAAAACACCTGTCTCCCACAACCATGACCATGGTGAAGCACCCCAAAGAAACCATGCTCAAACGGTACTTGGGCCCTCTAGGAAGCCAAGCTGCCTATTGATGATTGCAATCTTACAAGATATGAAGCAAAGGGGGGCTCGCGTATCATCGCGAGCCCAAACGTGGGTGGGGCCTTACAACTTCAAACACCACGCAAACGTTGGTTGCGCAAAAACGCCTACGCGAGATCAAGTTGACGAGACGCCTCAGCAGTGCACCAGCTCCATCTGGAAAATCACAACTTTTCATTTCAAGTGTAGGACATGAAGTGCACTTTGAACTTTGGCAGCTCCAGCTCGAAAATCGCAGCTTCTAGTACACGCAACTCAAAATACAATTTGGCAGCTCCAGCTCCAAGCGGGAGGGGCCTGACTTTCTTGAATCTGGGAAACGGCGGATTTGTTGGACATGCAGGGCTGCGCAAGCCGCCAGACCATCCCCGCCACAACGCTTCACATCATTCACCGTGACATGTCAATCTACCAAATCGTCGCCTATGGAACTGCATACGCAAGGCTTCACAACACGAGCCTCCACGAAATGCCGACGCACGCCTATGCGGTTGTGGCCCTGTAAATTGCCTGCGCAGCATGTGACTGGCGCATGTCTAGATTCTCTTGGCAAGGCCAGCATATCTTCAGCGTAGTCCAAGCAAATGCCTAGTTTAATTCAGGCACACATGCCTCATATGTCCCAATATGTGTCTAACTGGCTTCGAGTGTGTATGTCTTTTCAGAATGTGTCACCCTAGTCCCAAATTGGGTCTGACACGTGTCCTATGTGTGTCTCGCTTCTGTCTGCTTTAGTGTTTGACGTAGAACACGTGTCGAGCATATGTGCAGCTTGCCCAGTACATTGCCTGCAAATGTCTAGCGCGTGTAGCATGTGTCCAGTGTCCAGTATGGCTGTGACACGTCTCTACTAAACGTCTAGCATATTTGTAGTATAGTACTTCCTGTGTAGCATTGGTTTGGCTTATGTTCAATGCAATGTCTAGTATCTATCCATATCATGTCCGGTCATTATCTATCTAGCGCTAGCACATGCTGAAAAGGTACCACTAGTGCAGTGCATATCCCAATAATACAAATACTATATATATATATATTGAACAAAACGCCCACGAGCCCCAAATAGAGGAACCCGTGTGCAAACAGTGTAACGCTGGCATCCTTTTTGGTCCTCCTGCCTGTCTTGATCAATCAGCCGTTGCTTCCCGGCAAGATGATCAGAGCCCTGACACGCAGTGTTGCTAAGATGTTTGCAAAGTTAACACCGTCGACCTATTGGATCACAATTCCAAGCCCTCCTTGACGAATCCTGTTGGAAGAGCTATCATTTCTGCCAGCCCTGCTTTCCTGAGAGACATAACACATGCAAAACAGGTTTATCTACTGTGTCCATGTATGTATATATATATAAACCATGTATCACCTATTCCCACACAAGCTCGACATATTATGCAACATAGCATGCACAAGCACACAAAAACACTCAAAGATACATATGTATATGCCATTGCTTTTAGCTACATGTGACAGCTCGTAAATTCTTTAGACCAACCTGGCTTCCTTGACGGCAATGTGTGTGTGACGCCAAGCCGCATAGGCCATCTGTGGGAATTGCGACTGTCCTGGCGGCGCACACCCACACACACGCACAGACTTGCAAACGTATTGAAGCGTCCAGCCCAATTTGCAGGCAAGCGAAACATCACTCAGGCTGGCTCCCAGAAACTAACCACAACCTGCTTGTGGCAGCAACAAAAGCGGACAAACACCACGTGAAAGCAGCAATTCAGCAGCAATCCGGATGTGATTATGTGATCAAACTTGGTGCTCAACTCTTTGACTCTTTGGTCAATCGATCGATCCAGCTACAATGCGCCATTCAGCTGGTTGAATTTGCCCGCCCCTCGAAAGCCAGTCACAGCAGTTCTGCAAATGGGTTCAACCTCCCCGCGCGCTCCTTGCATCATCGCAGGCTGGTAGCCACCCACCTGGAGCCAACATGGTAAAACTGGAAACCATCACCAGAATTCGCAGCTGATCGCTCCACCTATTTGGAGTCACCAACCATGTGTGTGTGGTCAAAACTCCTTTTGCGAGTCATAAGTCATGGTTCACTCATAGACTTCTCTGTTGATTGTCTAAGCCCGATTCAGAGGTGGATGACCATCCCTACCAACCCCACCAACCCCAAGAGGTTTTTTGACCATGGCACAAACCAAAAACGGCCGCGCACCCCGCTACAACCCGCCGCGTCCGAAGCCTTTGGAGCAGTGGCCTCAGGCCCCCGCCATCATAGGCCGAGGCTGTGCGACCTCAAGTTGCGGTGCTGCACGGATTCGAGGCGAGCTCGACTGAGGGTCTAGGGAAAACAATCATCAAAGCGGTGTTGTCTCAAACGTCCGAAAACACAGGTCTGGTCGACCGTGAGGCTGTCGAAAGAACGGCTTGTTGTCATTTGGCTTGACTCCCTTTGATGAAACAGCCTCATGCGACGTGCGCAATGCACAACTCGTTCCCGGCCACCTGGGGCCAGGGCGAAAGCCATGGTCGGATCGATCAAGGAGGGCTTAAGTTGGAATCACTCGAGGAATTATCTTACGTCTTCCCTGTTTTGTGCCTCTCTGTCTGCCAAGGGTTGTAATCGCTGAAAATGCTGCGGGCGGGTGAGGCTCCTTCGATGCCTAAAAGTTGTGTTTCCCGTACGGTTCCCTTTAGTAAGCATCCAAAACGGCCTTCGTTTATGGACATACCCATGCTGCGGCAATGCACTTTTTAGACCTCTGGGATCCCTTGTATATATTTTGGGGAGGAATCATCCAGACTTATTTGTTTGTGAGCACGCAGCAAAATATTGCCTTCACTTCGCAGGATAGAAATGCAGGGAGGCATCGGACCCAAATAAGCTTCGCAGCGCCATTGCACTGACACGTGATTAGAATAATATCAAAATAGCGGCGGGACAAAGACAGCGCCCACCACAAATTCGGTTACATAACTTTGCACCATGTTAATTGGGCTCGCATGGGAGCATCCTCCCCTTCGCCCGCCAATGCCGATCTCCCATGTATGCTACCAGTCATAGTCAGATATGTAGGTCTCTACTCCTGCGCCCAATTCCAGATAACAACACCGACCTTGTGCATAGATGACATCTGTAAGAATGATGCTGGGCCTTTTCAGCTCTAGCACGCATTCATGCACACATGAATGCACAACACCTCTGCACGTCGCAAATTGCCTTGGCGGCTTTTCATGAGCGACACACAACAGGACTGCCCCTTGACCTTCATGAGGTCATGCATTCACAACATGCGGATCTATCAACTGGAGGGCAACATGCTCCTTGAAACCATGACTGTACGTAGTTGCTTTGTCTCCAAACAAGGGAGCCCCGAAAAGTGACATGCCCTATAGTGATAGGTGCGTCTTGGTGCACCGTTCCTCCCCCCCTTACCCCCGCCCCGCACGCCCCTCGCTCCGGTTTTCGTGCGCCGGCGCGGCATTCGCGCAGCTTCATTCCACTGAGTCGCCGCCGTCGGTGTCCGGCATGGGCCTGATTTTGAGGCGAAAACTTCGTCGCAAACGCGTCTGCAAGTCGCAGGGAGCCCTGTGGGCTGAGATGTGGAAAATTGTAGGGAGACGTGGGGAATAGAAATGCAAAAGTCGACTTCCTGCAATCGGGAACGATCACAACACTGGACTTTAGACTCAAGTCCCGAAGTGTAGACCCATCGCCCATAAACACCTATTACACCTTGCTGGCGCCCGAAAAGCACAAGACCCCACACACGCACACACACACAAGAAAACATCCAGTAGAAGCATATCGGCTTCAGTGACACCATTCCGGATTTCCCGCATTGACTGGAGGTTTCTCAGGACCTGAGAGTCTCTCCCCACTGCGCAGACTGTTGAGCAGAAGCTTGCTGCACCAACAAGTCTCGAGGCAGCCTGTAGGGTGCTAGAAAGGTGCTTTGGACGACCCGTCCAATTGCAGAGCGCTGTATTCAGTTCAACTGACACATGTTGCCTGGGATGTTCACCAATTTTGGGGGTAAGTTCCCCCTTAAAGCGGAAACACACTTCCCTCCAGCCCACCCGACCCCATTTCTCCGAGGCGCAAGTGCACCAGGAATCGGCCCACGTCCTTGCCCCGGTCCCGCGCCTCCTGGTCGATCAGGGAACCAAGGACTGTGCCAATGTACCGGGAAAACGACCCTAATGGTCCTTCAAGGATTGAGAATCCAACAAAGAACAAGCTGACGGAATGAATCCTCCCAGCCTCTTGTGGTTGAACCACATAGCCTGAAAACGGATGTGCGAACATTCTTCGGGGAGTTGGCCTTGCATCCTCGCAAATGGAAGGAAGCGAATGCTAAAACCTGCATCCGCAAGCCGGAAGCCTTGGTGCAGCCAGGGATGTGGTGTATATACATCTTCAATCCGCAAGAAAACAGTTTATGAAGACAGGCGTGGTGTGCACCGCAAAATCAAAAGGAACTAGTAGGCAACACGAGGCTTTGCACTCCACCATCCCAAACAAGGCTTGGAAGAAACTACATTTTTCGCATATTTACACCCAAAGGATCAAGCTTGAATTGGGCTCAGCCCAATGTTAGGATCTGCATGCGAAGCTGGAAGGAGTCCTCGTTTCAACCGGCGATGCCTAGTGCACATAAGGCTCACCATCTTGCTTGTCTCAGGGATATGATGCTGCCAGGTTCCATGTTGTCGGTGAGCGGGGGCCAGCAAAGTCCCAGAAGAACAGATTCGTGCATGCATGACTTGACGATTGACTGGTAGCCATCATAACCCAATTTACATGATGAACTGTAGGTATGCAATGCAGGCATGCAAGGCAACATCCAACGTCACTGAATCAACTGTTGATGAAAAACAACACAATCCACATTTCAGTACACCAAGGCCTAACAACAGATTGGCTATGATTGGCTAGTGGTTTCTGCGCTCAAAACCTCAAACCAATTTTCCTGTGTCACCGATGCGTAAAAATGACTTAGAAGCTCCAGGGGGCCAATGGGCTCTGCAAACGGCCGGTCTCCTGTTGGATGAGAAAGCAAGTATGACAAAGGTCCCAGTTTCTAGGTCGCATGAATGTACGTCTTGCAAGGTGTGAAAGATGACACTCGGGTCATTGCATCACGGGCGGACGAGCGCGCATCTTTTCAGCTGGGGAAAAACGATAGTAGGGTCTGGTCTACTGCACAGCTGCCCTCGACCAGGGTTGATCAATCTGAGGACAACGTTAGGCATCGTACAATTGTGATTCATACACCTTTGTAAAGTGTGTTTTGTGTGTGGACGTGACAAATACAGCGGCGTGGTTTGCTGAAAAGCTTAGATTCGTCGCTTAACGTTTTGCACTTGGGAAACTGGTTGCTCTCCCTAACTCACAGCCAGCTCACTTACACGAGCTTCCCACAATGAAAGTTGCTTACTTGGGCATCGCTTGTTTGAAAATGTTGAGGTTCCTGAAACATGCCTGTATCAGATTGGTGCCTAGGCCACCTGGTCTCAATGTAGACCAAGACACTTAGGCAATTTCTGCACATAGTTGTTGCTTTCGAAGCTAATCAGATTGGCATACCTTCTGAATCTGACTAAAGATCCCCTTGAGCTGGAGCAGTCAGGTTTTTGCCACCACAGAGATTGACAACGAACAACTGCTGTAAAGGAAGCACCGGGAAGCACAGCTACTGTAATCTTACGTAAGTAATTCAAGTGCATCGCTTCAGTCCCAGCTCAGAGGCTGCGAATAGCATGTGCATTTGGGCAAATAAAGCTGCCCCTCACCATTGAACAGGTCAGAAATAGCTTCCTCTAAATCGAAGCGTCATGATTTTCGCGAGATTCTGCATAAATCTTCCATATGTATCTCTCATTTGGCACTCTGGATGAATCATCGTGCTGATTGCAGCTGCCAAACCGCCGTGACGATCTGTCAATTGCCACACAGCGCGGCAAAGCGACAGTCGTGGGAAAACAGGCGATGTGGACAGTGTTAGGTGGCTTCACCCTTTGCAAGGGCGTTACCCCTTCTGTGACTTGAGTCATACAAACTTCGGTGTCGGCTTGGTGTCCCTCAGGGGTGTGAGGCCGAAAAATAATTGACAAGCGACCAAACGGGTTGCTCATCCCCCCCCCAGGCACTCCAACGGTGAAACTTACCTGGACCAAGTGCACTCCAAAGGCAGCCTTCGCAGGACTTCAGATTCGGTCACCTGGCACTTTCCTCCAATTGCAATCCATGCCGAAAAAGCTTCGTGCGATTGGCCCAATGTAACGCGTGTGGTCCAAGTTGTGGTACGTACTTATGAATATGTACATGTATATGTATGCATGGGCATGCATGCATGCATGCATGCATGCATGCATGCATGTACGTATGTAGGTGGGTAGGTACGTCCGTACGTCTGCATACATGACTATGTGTGTATGTGTGTTTGTGCGTGTATGGAAGGAAACAACGATGGAATGCTGGATGCACTGATGCATGAATGCATGGATGGATGAATGGTCACTATGAACTTCTCGGTTGGCGCGTCCTAGAGAAGCAACTGCATGCTGAATCCAATGATGAAGGATGAGTGGCCAGCCTGAAACAATATTGCAGCTGGGATGCATTGTACTTTGCACGCAAAGCTGACAAGCACAATATGATTCGGTGGATCAGAATACTTGCAAGGCAAAACAAACAACAACTGCATCTAGTTTAAAAAAAGGCAACCTTGACAATAAACACAGGCACGATCCACGTTTACTATAACCTGACGTGACGTGTTCGGCTGCCTTGACACAATCAACACTCACAACGTACAAGTGGCACTGTTTACTCCACAAAATCAAAGCATGGAAGCTGAAAAACGCCGCTGAAGACTTTCAGGGGGCCGCATTCAGCGAATTTCTCTTTCTCCGCTCCGGGAAGTCTTCTGCCATGCCTGCGAGGCCGGAAATCGGAGCGCAGTTGCCGCGAGGCCATGTCCGGCGAGCTCAGCCGCAGCAGCCGCACCTTAGGGCCAACATCCGCCAGGTGAATGTCACATAGCTACGCCGGCCTAAGGGACAATTCCTTGCAACTAACGCAACAGTGGCCAGCAGGAGGCAAATCATCATTTGTTTCCTGCAAGTTGAAGAGCTCATGGTTGGTGCAGGAGCGTCAATGCACTCGAGGGCCAGGGAAACCTGCCAATGGGTCAAGGATACAAGCAGTTGCTCCGGAGACAACTACCCGCCCTGGAAATTGCAGGTCTCATCAAACATCTCAAGTCATCCGTCAGCAACAGCGAGACAACCCTCCCCACCTCCCGGAGGCCCGAAGGAAGCTTCACTAACCAAAAACGGCACGTTGTCAGGTGAACAATGGCCATGGCCCATGATGAAACAATACGGTCAAGGTCGCCCTTGCTGAACTCGCACTGCGCTGCTGCAAGGTTTCAGCATCGCGCTTTACCATTGTATAACTGAAGCTGGCAACACATCCCTTACCAGTGCTGCTCGAGCTTCACAAAAAAACAAACGTGGGAGCAATTGCCTGAACACCCAAATGGTATTTCTGCCGAG